CCCGACATTGCTCCCCCCACTGCCCCCAACCGCGGGAGTCCCGCAGCTGCTGCCGGGGCAGTGCCAGGTCAGAGCCTCGCTCCTGCTGGAGGGGTCAGTCCTCGCTTGCCCCTCGCCCTGGGCTCTGGGGTTGGGAACGACTTGGAATGTTAACAGTGCCAGCCTGGCATGAAAACTGAAGGAATGAGGAGAAACACTTTAAAAGGGTGCTTGCATTATACAGCTTGTTTTCTCAGCTTGGTTACTCAGCTGCAGTGTCAAAAAAAAAAAAAAAAAAAAAAAAAAAAAAACCAAAAAAACAAAACAAAACCCAACAAAAATACAGTAATTAAGTAATACAATTACTTTAAAAATTATTTTGGAAGTCTTCCACTAGCACAGCTGTGAAATATTCAGTGATGACTCCAGAAGGATCTGCACAGCCCTGAATGACACTCATAGCAACCGAACCTGCTGTATCTCTTCTYAATACTGTTTAAAATGGCTCAGGAAGATACTTGAAGAAGATTTAAAAACTCCAGCGGTTGTATCTAGTTCCTGATGTTATCTTGCTGCAGTACAGTCAGGTCCTGAGCAGAATCAGGGATTGGCAGGCTCTGATGTGTTATCTGCGGCCCCCACACCTGGTCACCCTGATCCCTGTGTAGTGTTCCTCTCTGGTCACGGARCTGGTTTCAGCTTGGGTAAAATATCTGTGTCCTATTGGCTTTGATTTCAATTKAAAYATGTTGTATTTTTATGCGTAGAACTGGTTTTGCATAAAAAGCCATCCTTGGCACATATGTRGAAAACAGTACTYCAAACAATGATCTCCTTTCACAAARGGTCCCAAACAAAGCGGCAACTGTGGGAAGGTGCTTACGAAGTCATCTTTGTAATGCTTTTTTAAAAATGTTTTAAGATCATGTGAGAAGCACAAATAGAAGAAATTTGAGAACTCTAAACTTCAYTAAGTGTCTTCACAAAATTTAACATTTCATTTTCAAGTTAATGACATTATATTCTGGAGCATACATTAATCCAGCTTAAACAAAAACTCTAGTTGTTACAAAGAAGTTGACATTTATAATAAAGCTCTGATGGGACCCTGAGTTTTAGTATGAGTTTTCCTTAAGGAAAGCACAATAATCACTGTAAAAGCTTAGGCTTTACTCATCATACACTGAACAATCAGTTTTTACATGGAGAGAAAACCCAGAGAAAGACAGATTAGTAATAAAAGTGATGATCTGTAAACAACCCTTTCTGCCTTTGTCCTYATCAGGTTTGCAGCATGGAATCAGCCATTTTGTTTTCTACTGAGAGACACGTTTTCATAAGAAAATACATTCTTCACTAACATACAACAACTACAAAACAACAAAGAGATACAGCTTTTCTAGCCAATACCTTCCATTGTGAACACTCTGAGCTGCAAAAAAAAAAAATTATCTGTGCATATGCATAAAAAGATGATCCCATTAGCAGTATGGGAGCCATTCTCAGGGTTAGTGAAGACTGAAGTGGGTAAAGAGGCTCTACTCAGAAATTAGAGTGCAATAATGTTCCTTCACACTTAAATCTATCAGTTTTGTCTAGAAGGTGGCTGGARGAATGATCAGATAGAAGAGTTTTGGACATTCAAATGTAGCTGACACTATCTGTATGCACATGCTCCAAATGTATGTTTTTGGGGTGGTTCTTCATAATTACAAAATATCAAACTGATGACTTCTTAGGCATTCTTCATACTGACAATACTCAGTTCAGACTTTCCTAAACAGTGTTGTTCTAGAAATGCACCAGACCTTGAAGCATTAATGACACTGTTAACAGATGTGTGTTAAGCACAACGTATCATTATGTAGTCAAGGAAAGTTTGTGAGTCATCTGTTTTGCAGGGCAATTTTCCAGTTGATCAGAGAAATGGCCTGACCACTTTGCATGAGGTCTTTGATCTGTATTATACATCTCTAGTCATGCCCAGTCACAAGGATTTGCCTGGTCACTAGATAGAGGGCTGGCCAGAAATTCTGACAATTAAACTTCAGAAAAGCTGAAATATTTCCCATGGAACTATGTTTTATCCCAAAAAGAAACTCAACACTGATTACCTTTTTCTCCATCCTTTAAATCAAGCAACAGGGCCTCAAACTCTTAACAGATTACATCAGCACATCAACAACCAGAAAAAATGGTAATGTTTTAATTTCAACAAATTAGTTTGAAAAATAAAATGGAATAACCATCAACTTTCTGCTCTGAAAGGCAAAATTCTTTTGCATAAGAAATCTATTGATTCTTTGACCATCTCTGACCATCTTTGACCACTTTCTGCAAATTCTTCCTTTCTACAGTATATCATTATCAGTTCAAGATTCACATCATCAATGAAATCCAAGGCAAGCCGATAGACCCAGCTTTTACCATGTCTCTGGCAGGGACTAAGGAGGATGCTAAAAACCTGCACATCCCGCTGTGAGTATTGTATCACATATCCTTGTGCATGTGACAGACAATGCCCATYTGTAATATCAAACCACATTGATAATCATGCTATGAGTGAAATGCYTTAGTACAGTTAAGTGGACATGGATTGGAAATTGTCCTCTCTTCACTTGTACTCCCTAAAAGTCCCAGGTTCTTACAAAGATCGTACAGCTTGCACAGAAAAAAAAATATTAGAAAACAAACAGTAAATCTGGAAATTCTTCTGTCCACTTAGTTTGGTCCATCCCATAGATAAGACAGGGAAGTGTAATCAATTAAAACACAAATAAAAAAAAATCAATTAAAACACAAATAAAAAAATCATCTGTAATTGAGATAAAGAATTTTGGATATTTATCACCATGGACACGATCTGTATTAACAAAAACAAAGGCAACAGTGTGGGTCAGCATTTGCTCTAGCAGGCAAAAGTCGTAACATAGATGCTGTCATGGGACACCTTTTCTTTTGCTGTCACTAGAAACCACTACAGCATCATCACCTGTTCAAGCTTCTTCCACTTCTGCTTCTATCCTAGCATGTTGTCATCCTTTACCACTTTTTTGCACCTGAAGGAGGAACATTCTCAAGATATTAATGTTTTGTCCTGGAGAAGGAAAATAGTTCTTTCCCTGGTTTTAAGGGGGAAAAAATCCTATTTCTTTCACTTTAATTCATAATAATTAAGACAGCATTATTCTCATCTTGTTTTCTGTAGAGTTGAAGGTATTACTGGGAATAAAACCTACTCCTTTCTMATCACGCTGGACACTGATATCGGTGACCTAATAATGATCAAGTTCAAATGGGAAGGAACTCCAGTTTGGGAAAATATCTGGGACACATTTCAAACCATAATACCATGGACAAAAGGCAGCCGTCGACCAGGACTTATAGTGAAGGCAATAAGAGTGAAAGCAGGGGAAACACAGCAAAAGTAAGTGCAATGGAAACACTCAGTARCACCACAGATGTCTGGCACACAGGTTATCCCAGTTCAAATACAAGCATCTGAGTCCCAGCAGTCACACCAGTGAATGTAATTACCTCACTCCATAAGGACCAAATAAAATTTCAATGAAACAAGATCCTATTTATGCAAGAAAATATTGATTCCAACATTAACATCATGAAATATTCAGATTCCTACTTACAAAAAAATGTCAAATCTTACTATTTGACTTTCAATACCTACTTCCTAGAAAAACTCAGCATAACCATTCTTGAAAATACTTATTAGAAGGATCATGTGCTGTACTACACAGTCCTCTGATTCCTTTYGTTGTCCTTTTTTCTCCTGCTTATTGCTTTGAAGTCTGAGCAGCCTTGTTCTCTACACATGGCAATGCTAACAACACATTTAAAACTGCCTACTCATACAGAGACCTTTCAGCCAGAAGAAATTATTTAAAAACTTACAATGATTCCCACTGCTTTAATCCTTTGAGAAATTTAACTGAGCATTTTAATTAAGATTAATGAGAAAGGCACACCTTACCTCRTAACTGAGGCTCAGCCCTAGAAGGCAATTTTTCCTTGGTACATTCCCTTTCTTACCASCACAACTAGTGCAGACTTCCTGTGGAACAACTCTTATTGGCAGAGCTGTAGCCCCTTAATATTGACACCAAAAACAARTTAAACAATTTACAGAAATATTTCATAAGACAGTCTGTGTGTGCTGGGGGACAAAGGAAGGAACATATTCTCTTAGGTTTAATCTTCCTGAAAATGTATTTGGGAGGTATTTTCCTAACCTGGCACTTGGCACGTGCTCCTGCCATTAAAAGTAGTTGCTGTAACATCTGCTATTTTAAAAGCCACGATCTGAAAATCAGTACTGACCTAACAGGAAAAGCAAATTAAAGCAAAGTATACAATGCAAGCTAGGGAGCTCTGTTTAGGTACAGAGTCCTGTACCTTAAGAAAAAAGGTATGAAGGTGAGAAGTCATTTTCCTAACCAGAAAGCTCTTGTGCAATCCACCTGTGCCAATTACTGCTGATGTACTACTTTCCTTACCTAGGAAATGATTAAGTAAGGGGGGTACTTATTACAGCAACAAAAAATGATGCTGCTATCTTCAGGTACCTAATGCCCCTTAGAGGTTTTTTTTTTGCTGCAAGTGGAAGCAGCAGTTTGTGCCAAGCTTTTTGTGGACACTGATTATGTGCTGGGTCTTGTTCTTTGCAATYTGGGCAGTGACACTGACTTACCATTGAAATGCTGCATTAATGCTTGGGGGGGGGGAATGAAAGATTACTGGTGGTTCTAAGAGGGGGGGGGGGGGGGGGGGAAATGAAAGATTACTGGTGGTTCTAAGAGGAGAAATAAAGGACGCTGATGCTCAAGAAAAAGTATTTTCCTCAAAGAAAAACGGTTTGTAGATTTCTGCCTTCCTCAAAAGACTAAACATTGTCTATTGCAGAATTAGCAATTTTGGAAATTCAATAATTAGAAAAGATACTAAACACAAAATTTATTTTGAATTGTCTTGTGCTCTCTCAAGGACTTGGACGTTTTATCTTTTATCTCCAGGTCTCTCTGCCTCTTCATGTTCATGATTTTTGTACACATGATGGAAGTTCCTTTGTTAGATTATCTAATGGCCAACACTTGGGACATAACAGTATAAACTTAAAAAGAAGTTAACAGACCATTATGAGCAATAAAATACCAGATCCCAACATATTTGGTTTCAAATATTTCTGTAGCATTTATAGTTGCTGATGTTAGCATCCTACATAGCTGATCTTTAGCAAACTCCCAGCTAACTACCAGTATTCCAGCCCAAACAGTGCAATTGTGGTGATAATAGTAAGAGTTGAAACAATGCCAATGTCCCAGGGACAATACAGCCCCCGTGACTGTGAGGGTTTGCTGTGGAGAAYATGCAGAGTGACACCAGAGAGAGAGAGGCACAATGTACTCAGTGCACAGGACCTGTCTGCTCTTTTCCTCTGTACCTTGGTCTGGCAGGCAGATACATCTCCTTCCTCACAAACCTATGAAAATAGTAAATTACCTTCCTGTAAAAGACAGGATAAAGAACTGGATAATGAACAGGAGATTCTAACTAACATGCTTTCTAACCAACATTATGCTCACATACTCTCTTCTTTCCAGAAAAACATTTTGCCCCCAAAGCATCGACAACATTCACCTTCATCCATCCCAAGAGAAGACATTTGTGAGGTGTGAAGAYCGCTTCCAGACAGAAAACAGAAATTGAGCAAGAACACAAAAGGCAACTCCTCTCCAACATATTCAAAATAYGATGCATCACGTAAAATGTTTTAAAAACTCATAGCTACATCAAATACCTGAGCAATTTCAGAGGTGGTAAAAACACATATTAAGGTATTTGGTTTTTGTGATCCAACAGTCAACTGAAATATGCACTTTGTTCATCTAGGAGCACACTCTGAAAATGATCAATGAGCAGCTTCATCATGGCAGCTGTCAATCTGCAAGTGTTTAAAGTCTGAGGAAAACATCTGCTCACCAGAAATAAAAATCTTATTTAACAAAATCACTGCCGTAAGCCTTTGAAAAGCTTTGTTTTGTTGGATTTAAGGCAAAAAGAGAAACTTCATTTCCCAGTAAATACTTTGAAACATCAATAGCTACTGTTACCAGTTAAAACTTTCCTAAACTATTTTCTAATGAAGGGGGAATTTAATAGTTCATAAAAGAAAATACTACCAAACAGATATAAAAAACCAGAATGCTTCAGTTGTAATAACCATATAAAAAGCCCAATAACACTATCATCTAAAAATGCTATAATAAACTTTGTTCTCTTTTAAAATGCTTTGCTATTTAACTATCTTAATTAAAGAACTGATTCAAATTACTAGCAAGTTAATTATTTGARTGATGCTTATTATACTACACAAAAGTCTAGCACAACTAAGTTTAGGTAATTTTTGCATTTAAATTGTATTTACCCGTTCAGGTAACGTCTGAGATTTTCAGATTCTGAATCTTTGTATACCAGATTTTAGCATRACTTGAAACTGCCAGAGTAAATGAAAACGGTAAACTCTTCAAGCAGCTTCAGAGCATAAAAAGCAACTTTGTAAGGTCAAACATATAAATTYCCCTTGTTTCCCCTGTCAGAATATAAACAATAAAGAGAAACATTATTGTCTCAGATTGTTTTTATTCTATGGTTTGTGCATACTGAAACAGAAATCAATTTATATGTATTTCACATGCCACTTTAATGCTAAGCACAAGATCCATTAAAAATTATGTTTCTTGAACTGAATTTTGAATGTAATTTGTGTTAAATGTTCTCTAAATAATAAAAAATCTACAAGAAAGTGTTAAGACCTGGAGAAAAGCATATGTTTTCACGCCAAGATATTGCAGGGAATTTTGAATCAAAATATCTGGATGTTATCAGGAATAGTGAGATTTATTCAGACAGCCTGACAAATAAACAAGTTGAGCAGATCCTGCAAGCAATGAACAGTGATCASATGTTGAATGCCAGCATCTCTTAGTTTTCCAAAGCACAATGAAAAATGAAACAAGGAAACCAGTCAGAAGCATGTGTGGTTAACTCAAAACCAGGCATCTCTCTAGATTGTTTCTAGAACCAAGTTGTTGCTTCTGCAAAAAACTTGGATGTTTCCACTTTTACCTCTTTGCTTCAGGGCTTTCTTTTTTTTTTTTATAAAATACTATTAAGAGAATAATTYAAATACTGTCACTGAAATTGCATCTACATCAGTTATCACTGACTTTCTAATCTAAGAATTTTGTAAGCTTCCTGAACTAAATCCTACCCCTACTCCTCAAAAAAAGTGTTTTTCAGAAGATACTAAAGGATGACAGAGCAAGAGACAAAGGCTAAAAAGAATTGGGCTGTACTTCTCCTCCAGTACAGAAACTACAATGCAACTGTTTTGCTATAACTGGAAAAAAGAACCAGAGTTGGCTTTTAATGAGATTTGTGTGAACCATTTGTATTCACAGAGTCTTGCAAGTCGCCATCTTCCTGTATTTACACTTTTGTAGTTACACATCCCATAGTTACACTCTCTAAAACATTTTAGACATCAAATTAGCATTGTTTTGCAAATTATTATCACTTACTTGATAAGGAGGCTGATAAAGGGATCTAAACTGCAGGAGAAACRGGCATTACTTCAGGAAAAGCAGGCAGAAGAAGGGCCAGAGGTGTCWACAGTGTGCTGAAACTCAAGAAGTGGGGATACTGCAGTTTGATGACTTCTGTTTTTTTGTGAAAAAACATTCTCCAGTTCAATTAAGAGAAGCTGGTATATCCTCAGTGAAGACAATTTGGAAGCTTTTAAGAAGTAGAACAATTAAAAGAACATTCAGTATTTGAGCTCCTGAAGATATGAAGGTAYTTCTGGTGCCATTTTTCACAAATCATATACCCAAACAAATTCTGTCCCTGTTTTGACAGTYATTAGTTATTTCTGATATAAAGGTGAAATAAAACACAAGCTGCAGTATGTTTAGAGWCTTACAAAGCCTGAACATAAAAGTGAAGTCATAGCTACAATTTCAAGTGCCTATACTGATGCCTTACTTTGTGCACACTGGAATTACTTCTGCCCCACTCCATACAGCTGACTTGAGACCTTGGAAGCCACCAGGTGCCTACTCCTGTCAGGGCATGCACAGCTCAGAATGACAGAATGGCTGCTATCCTTTTCATCATCTCTGTAAAAATGAACCTCCAATATTCAGAAATAAAAACGTCCTCCTTCCTTTTTGTTTTCGCTGAAAGAAATATTGGAACACTAATTAAAAACCAAATTACATCAATGACTTAGAGTCTGTATGGTATAAAATTTCATTGCTTAAGAGGACTTTGATGCCTTTGTCATGCTCACATCATTCTGACTATGTTACGTACACTTCTACACCAGAGGTGAATGTATACATTTAGTAACTAAAACATTAAAAAATGGAAGATGAATAAATGAATAAATAGAAATAAGGATTATTATGTCAAATATTAGCTAGAAAAATTATGTTCTGATTTGTTACACCTCTATTTTAAAATATACATAAAAACTTGTATTTKAACTGCTTAGGCATTATTTCACCCCTCTGGTCTGTGTTCGTACACAGAGATTTAAACACAGCCACCACCACCTCCATTTGGCACCCAKGAAGCGGATTTGCAGAAGGGCTCTGCTCCAAGGGATTTTCTTTTAATGCCCTTTGTACAGACAGTGCTATTTAACTACAAGGAGAAGCACTTCTATAAAAAGTCATGGGGGTGGTGGGGGGAGGCATTGTGAGGAAGGAACTCTGAGTATGCTTTGATAACATCAAAGTCTACCCTGCTCACCCGGGGAAACAGATGTCTRAGCAGGCCACTCTCAACAAACAGCCCTAAGAATGGACGACCCACTGGCAGGACCTGGCTTTTAAAAGCTTTCTTATCACTTAAATCAACCATGTAAGACACACAGAAACACAGACCCAGCACAGCAGCTTTAAAACACCTTGCAAAAGGCGTATTTGCTCCTTCCATAATCCTTATCCACCAACTGTGTATTCAGAGTATTACATATTAAATCCAATACTACTCTCCAAATATTTTTTTTCCAAAGGTACTCAGTAACTATGGCACCAGGCTTGAACATCCCACCGGCAAATATTTTTCATTTTGAAGGTAAGAAAAGTTTTATTCCTGTGATCATATAAATAATTTAAAGTTAATTTTGGGGCTTTTCTGTAAACAGGTTACACAAACACATTCTTATTGGTAACTGCAGGATGTTAAAGTTGAGAGGAGCACTTTGATAGAGATGGTACAATTACRTTTTGGCATGACAGTAAAAACCAAAAATTAAGCAAAGCAGAATTTGTGTATTCCTCTTTGCTTTCAGAGTTCAACAAGTAAATGGATCTTCAGAGGATGACTTAATCAAGTCTATTTATTAATGCATTTCAAGTTTCAAAAAACCTTACATATCTTTGCACAATACTTTATTTTTTGCATTTTTTAGTAAAAATTTCCAAAGTGAACAAAAAAGAGACTGTATAAAACACAGTGGACATGAAATTGATAGTAGTATTTCCGTTTCATTGTCCTGAACTTTCTTTCAGTCTTACCACATCTTGACTTGCAGTGGAGAGTTCAGTGCACATTTCTGTTTTCAAAAAACATTTAACTTAGACTCAAAATAAAATAAGGCAGCATTTGTCTGCCAAAATCCTACCACAGGATAACATTACAGGCAAAAAATTTACATTTTCCAAAGTCTACCACACTCAAGAAGTTACTAAGAACTCTTGCTGAATAAAAGTCACCATTTTAGAAATGCAAACCCACTTCCAATCTTTGCACAGTCTTAAAACAAATGTATTTAAAATGACTTAAAAGCAACTACATACACTTCTAACTAGTTAAGATCATTTAGAATTATTTATATAGTCTATTGGACTTGGGGTTTCATGTACAAAATTTGTCTCTAAACCATGTACAAAAAGCTGTATTTTCAAAAAGTTACCACATACTGTACAAGTTTACAAGGAAGAGATCCCATTATATTCTGTAACATTTTTGGCCTTGCTGGCTTGTGTCACATTATGAGAATGATTGTGTAAACCTTATACTCTTAAAACAAAACAAAACCAAAAAAAACAAACAAAGGAAGCCTGTCCAACCCTTAGTAAATTTTCTCCTAAGCAAAGCCAGGAAAATTATAGCCATTTGCATCTCTAATTAGCTTGGTGCTTTTGGAAAACAAGCAATAAATACATCACAAGCTTAAACATTTTGTAATGCCCCCTTTCATCTCCTGCATAGCAGTAAGCACCTTAAGACATCTTTTATTTGATCTTCAAAAATGCCAATTATTTACATTCGTAATAAAAACTCTGGAATGGGACATTGTGCTGTTGAACTTCACTACTGGTATAAATGTGGGAAAACTGGTAATCCTAACTACAGTTTTAACTCTGCCACAGCAGCCAGGCAAATCACTCTACTTTAGTGGTTACCAATCAACAGTATCATGCTGAAAAGTTATCCAAACACCTGATAAATTAAAAAAGAAAAACTACAGCTTTTCTTTCTTTCTTTCCACATTCCTTAGAACATGGACTTGATTACCAAACTGTAAGAATATCTGAACAGTCCAAATAAAGTGGTTGCATTTAAAATAAGTTGAACAACAGACAGAATTTTCTAGTAAAGCATGGAAATATTCAATCTAACAATTCATTATATCACTGAATAATCAGACAAATTAAAAATATTATGCTGAGCTACAAGGAAGACACATAAAACATTTTGAAACATTCTGACACTTGCAAAGTTTGCAGAACACCTGTTAAATCTCTCTAAGACCATCCAGTCTTGCACGCTGTGTCTTAGCAGCTGTTGGATAAAGATGAAATGAGTGCTTGAAACAACTTTGATAACGATAAAAAAAGTGTGATTGGATTCAAAATTGCCGTGTAAAGCATCACAGGACCCTTGACCACTACAAACCATCATCCTCTGTTATCCTGAGTATGTCAATTAAACAGTAATTTCTTCATTAATAGTGGAAAAGTTTTATAATACAAAGAAACATCCATATTGCAATTCTCTTGTTTACAATTGCACACAAGTACGGGTGTATGTTAGAAATACATGTCTGCATATAACAATGTATATACATTGACAAGTAATGTCTCCAATGCTGAGGTGGTCTAGCTTCCTAGCCTTGTCTGGCAGTTGAAAAATATATATTTTTCTCAATTCTTGAGTAGAAGTTTTACTACAGCCATATTTGCCTGCAAGTGAAGAAAATGCAGCAATGAAGAGCACAGAAGGGGGAAAGAATCATGATATGCTAGAACTCTGAGCCACTAAATTAAAAATATCCAAGAAAAACACTTTTCTTCTTTTTGAGCTGGAAGATTCTCTCATTAAAAATTAACCACTTCCACTTGTTTTGAGGGCATATCATGCTTTTTTTTTTCCTCTTCAATTTTTGAGAGTTAGACTGGGGACAATGACTTATTAGGTTTTCTTTGGAGTGAGTTTTCCCATTGTAGGCACTAGGAAGAACCAAGGCAAAAAGCTGCAGTCAGCGTCTCATGTGTCCCATCTGATAACTCTCTCGGGGCCTTTGCCGCTGTGGGGGCTGAGTGGTTTGTGGTGGTCTCCTCCTTTTTAAAGTGCCTGTTTCAAAGAAAAGTACCCATTATTAAAATTAATGTAAAAACCTCAAATTATTTCCAGAAGTGTTGCCCTGGCCATACAAATTAAGTACAACTATTTTTCTGGAAGGTTTCAGATTTAGACCTGCAAAGTTTTAACTAGRTGAGTAACTGCATGGAGGACATACAGAATACATTACAGTAGCTCAACAGTAGTTCCTTTAACAGGCAATTCTTACAAAATGTAGCATGGAATAGGAAATAAAAGGAACTCTGAAGCTGGAAAAAGTCTTCAAAGCTTTCTTTTGATACGCATGTTATGTTATAGGAAATAAGGCAAGAATTATATTTTTATGAATTGTTTCACTGGCATCAATTACATTTGTGGTTTCACAGTGCCAGACTAAGAACTGAAGGTTGAGACACCTGAAATGTCTCTTTGGAGCGAAACAGTTCAGGAGAAAACATTTCTSTGTAATTAGCTTGAGCACTCACCTGGAAGTGGTTTATGAGGAGGCAACTTTGGATTACTGCTTGGAGTATGAACACTGCATATCTTAATGAAGCCAGCCATTAACATGATTAATGCAATTCCCATAAGCAACACTGCCCACCAATAAGCCTAAAAAACAAAACCACAACAACAAAAAAAATTTGTGGGGGCTAGCACACATGCAAAAGAGATAGGACATTGAATGTGGCTTTTTTCTGTGTTTTAGAAGTCATGAAAAAGCTTTTCTGAAACATTACCAAGAATATGCAACCGTAACATTTTAAAGAAATGCCCCCAGAGTTCCCCCACAGAAAAGCCCCAATACTTCAATCGTACTATCAGAAGGGTAATTCACAGAGGACACACCCCACCAGAGCTGTATAAACCTAAAACAACCAGCAGCTTACACAAAATTGCCTATGCAGCTCTCAATGGTGTTTCACTGTAGCTCTCCTTCCAATATATTATTATGAAAGTGTCATCTAGCACAACAAAAAGGATGAATGCTGAAAATCAAAATATTTAGTTCCTTACAAGAAATCAGAGCATTTRAATATGAAGAGTTAAAACATGAATAAAAATGAATGTACAGAGGTATTAACAGATACTATTTATTTGTTTGGTATTTGCTTCCATTCCCTTCAATCTAGCAAACTCAAACTCACTTGTTTCACACAGGGTGCTTACAGAAAAATGAGTAAAACAAAGGCTAATTATACTTTCAGTAATACTGAAGCACTGTGCATATACAGCAAGACTTATTACCATGAATATTTCATATTAGACTTGTAATATAAAAATATACTTACCACAATCCATTCTGCAATATTTTCATATAGTTCTGGGTTAAAAATTGCTTTCTTTAATCTAGCTAGAGGGCCATCAGCATCTACTAGCCGACACCTCATAAACACATCACAGTAGCCTTTGAAATCATTACAGGGAGATCCAGGTTGCAAAGTAATGGTTTCAAGATGAAAGTATTCCTGCCATCGGCTCGAGCCTGTGCTTGCACAAGTAGCTGGGTCCACTGAAAAGTGAATATAAATTAATCAAACCATTATTCTATCAAAACATGCGTGCATGAATACCCACCCTAATGTTCAATTGCTCAAAATGTTTTTCTATTAATCTGTAAAAACACAAAATATATTGTTTATTTCCTATAAAACACAATGCAATGTCTGTCTGAAACTATGTATGAACAAAATGCTCTCAAGCTAACAAAACCTCAAGCTAACAAAACCTCAAGTACAAACACCATGAGCTGGTCCCTCAGACCCCTCCTGCTCTACTCACACTGACTATTCAGACAAATCTTACTTTTCCTCATGCAGCAGACATGGCACAGCTCTCTGTCATCCTTGCCATCTGAACTAGCACACGTACACTCCTCCAAGCCGTGCTTCTCACAGATAGAGCCAGCACATTGCTGTGGGAGACAAAAGCACAACAACATAAAAATCAATTTCACTTTTAAGCACACTGACATTAGGAAAGATATTAAAAATTTATATCTGAGTGCATAATTGTAGGTCTGAAGATGCTTATCAATGAAAGCAATTACTTCAACTTTTTTCCAAAGCTTATAAACAGAAATTTAGTACCGTTATTCAGCTTTAACATTTTGGCATATTTTATAATTTTTTGAAAGGTGATTTAGTCTATYTTTTAACATAGTATCTTCTTTTATAGCCTCAGAATACCCTGCAAAACACCCACGGCACTACAATTCACACTGAAACATGACTACTCAAACCCATGGTTAGAAAAATAAATCAAACACATGTATTCACAAATATTTGTCTTGGAAAATAGTAAAAATTAATGGYAGGAAAGATTTTGTATTTAATTTCACTGTGTGAGGATCCTTCAAACTCAAAAGTCCAGTGTATTAATAATCTTGTTTCTAAATCAGTAACTATACAAAGACAATTCCTCTATCTTTAAAATGACTACAAATTACCTAAAAACTATTACAAGTAGTATTTGATTAAAAACCTGGACTGCGGAAAACAGACTTACAGCAACACAAGTTACAGGTCTTTAAGAGGCTGATTTTTGCTTGTTTCTGTTTCCAAGTAAAAGAAGATCAATTCGTCAGAGACTTCCCATCAATGTTTCATAGCAACTGCCATGTTCTCTTTAACCCAGGAAAACAATGGCAGTTCAGAATAATTCTAATTCCGTATGTTTGCACATCAGTGCTACATGTGCATGTTTGGAGAAACTGTGTATTGCCAATAAACCAATTCAACCTCCATTGAGAGTATACCCAGTTTTCTAAGGCAACAGAATTACTTGACCAAGACTGAAGAAAAATGGGAAGGTGGAACTACAAAATTAAACACTTTCATAATCCTGATTTTTACAAAAAGCTTTTAATGTAACTTTCTCGGACAGTATAGTTACCTTGGCATTTATTACCTACTTCTTAATTCTCAGTGTACTTTCACTGTACTTTGACTGCTACCAATAAATCAAACATCTATACTGAAAAAGATACTGAGCTTACATTCCTCCCCACGAAGTATAGAAACCATTTCCATTCACAATACAGTGCCCTGCAATAAACAACAGTTACGCATGACTGTAAAAATCATACCCCCTTTATGCAAACTTGAGTGTTCCTGTTGCACACTGTGAAGTTTTCTTTGGGTTCAGATGCTGGACAGAGAGCACTGCCACCATTACACATTCCTTCCTTAGCACAGTCCGAATCATTCCGACACTTATCTGTCTTCGCTTTGAATTCACACAGTGCAGTGCAGCACGGGCCTTGGCTGGGGCTGGGAACAAACACCAATYGTGGATGCCAAGAAAACCACAAACCATTCCAAATGAACTATTCCCCCTGAAACCTACTCAACCACTCAACAAATTTCTGATTWGTGCTAATCAAAATGTGACTTGAAAATAATTTTCCCCGTAGCATAATTACGCTTATGAACTTCTCTCTCATCRCATAAAGCATTTTAAACAAAATCAATGCTTTCAAAGAAATGCAGGTGAGCAGATTCAGATTCTGAAATATCCATTAAAGTTCCCACTAAATGCCCAAAATGAAAGTGTACTGTAACACACATGCATAGTACCTGCACTTTTTGCCCGGTTTTAACTTGCATTTTTTRTCTTCTGGTTGGTTTGCATCATAACAGCACTCATCTTTACACTGGTCACTGTATCCACAATCACACTGTTCTCCTTGTTCAACCAGTCCATTACCACAGATGGGCTGCCCAGACTCTGAAAAATGCCAGCATATTTATTCATAAAACAGTACAAAGAATATGCAAATACTAATAAAGGTTAACAAACATCCAGCTAATCATGACTGAAAGAGCCTGGTCAAGCTGGACTTTAGACTAGGGCTCAAGTCAACTTGCATTACTGCTTGCCACCAAGCTTAGTCACTCCCATAATTCATAGAATTTTAAGCCTGAGTAGAACATTTTGSCTGGTAACAGTAGGAGAGGTAAAGACAAGCTTTCTGCTCAGTCYCCAAGGGAGCTGCATCCTTTCCTGCACTCCTTTAACAGTTAGAGGACCTTAAGGCTAAGGCTGAAGGTACTGGGTGAACTACTATTACTCCAAAATCCAAACCTACTGAGTAGATGTGAAAACCTATGTGAACACAAGCTCACAAAATTTGTGAGAGCTTACACATCAGACTCCACAGAGAAAAATTCATGCAAAATTACTTTTAATATCTAAACAGGATTCCCTGTGGTGTAATATGTGCTCCTCTCACAATGAGCACGCCTGACAACAGTCTTGACCCCGTTTATTTACTCCTCCCACCAGGCATTTCCAAAGACAGAGAAGAACCTCCCCCAGCCTTCTCTGCTCCAGACTAAACAGCCTCTCTTGGACTTTCCTCATATGTCAGATGTTCCAATCCCTTCATAATCCTTGTGGCCCTTGGTTGGACTCACTCCAGTATGTCCTGCCATTTCTGTGCTGGGCAGCCCAGAACCTGACACAGTACTGAAAATCTCAAATTTGATTTTTTACTTACAGTCTCCCAGTATAATGAAAAAAAAATAATAATTAAGCATTGTAGTAGCGTAAGTAGTAGCTTAGCCATTCTGCTTTCAGGAAGATTAAATACATACCAACAAAACAATTGTTTCTCTTTTTGTCAAGAACTTGGCTGATATTTCGAATGCTACAGATAGAAAACTTATTGTTGTTAAGTTTGTCTCCAGACGTAGCTCTTGCATACATGATATAGTTGCCATTTTCCTTCTGTCCCAAGTTCTTGGACTCTCCAGGAGTGCACTCCATTCCAGAATCATGCTGCAAAACAAGTACTTTACAACTATCTCAATCATGACAGGTGCAAAACTAACCTGGATTTGGTAGACTTAACACAGAATAATAAAATTAACCACCATCTTCCACTTTCAGGTTCCTTGAAATACAAGAAATATAYATAGACCCAAGGTTTGATTTTGGGTTCTCTTTGTTCTGTTGCTGTTTTCTCCTCCCCCAAGAAAACAGTACAAAGTTTCATCTTATTTGCATTCTTGGTAATGTACCCCCAAGCGCATGTCCCAGAATGAATACAGACTTGGAAAAACTGTCATGTCCTAAAAAGAGTGGCTTTATAAGATCACTTAAAATCACAAAAGGGCAATCAGCATTCTGTGCAATAAAAGCAGGWGGAGTTAACAAAAAACACAGTCTATTCTTCTTGTTTGCTTTGAGGGAGGTACAAAGAGAACTTCAAAACAGGAGCAGGAGTCTGGGTCAGCCAATGACGACATCTACAATACTCAGTGTGAGCTTTGAAATGCATTAAACACTGGCAAAACAAAAAGCCTCATGCTTTCAAGCTTGCCACAAACAAGCTGCTTCCCTAAATGAATGTAAAACAGTTCTACTCAAAAACGTACTTCTTGGTATCCTAATTCCCTCCACTGTTTCCTTAGACAAACTTGTAAATATAAATACTCTAACATAAATGTGAGTCACTTGTTGAATGAAGTGTCATCTTAATTCTGCAGTGCTTCTTCCTCCTCTCCAGGATAAAATACAATACATTGAACAAGATCTGTGTGACCCTACTGTTCATAAAGGCCAGGAAGTATTCGGAGAACAATAATAAGGTACCTTTGTAAGGGATTGAACTAAKATAAATAAACAATTCACAAAATGCACTGTTGCACCAGCATTGTCAAATACTCATAAAAGGGCTTGGTTGTTATCCATTTGGTTTGCATACCATGGGCGTGCATGCATGCTCATGGAGTCAGGATTCTWCTTTCTTGGTTTATAAGAAGTAAAACCTCCATTTGGAAATCATGCCCTTTGAAATGGCTGASAGTGAGTTAACAGATCACCAGTGATACTTACAGGGGAACCAAAGTTATGCCCAACCTCATGTGCAAAMGTAATGTGAGACACCTTGGGGGGCACATGAGAGCCATAGTTCTGGACTGTGATGATTCCAGTGTTCAGAGACTTCTTCTTCCCATCTGAATACAATTTGCTTTTTTCACATATTCCACCAGAGCTCCCTGCATTCAGACAAAAGTACAACAGTCACGCTTTTAGGGCAAGAAGTGTTGTGCTACTCATCTACTGACATCCAGAGCAACAGTTTGCCTCTGCAGGTTTACAGGCTAGGAGTTCTTCTCTATAATTAATATCAACACAACMTTGAAAGTAGGTTAGATTTATTCACACTAATGCTCTCAACACTGATTGGATACATTCACACAAGTTAGCTGGTTCAGAATAGCTGTTGAGAGCTATTTTGTACATTCACTGCATGGACACGCCTTTATTTCATCATACCAGTAGTGTAAGACTAGCAGGGTGCAAYGTCCAATAGAAGTAGCCTCAATCTACACCTCATTTGGATTTCACTGAGCAAAAAAATCCGTGGTAAATTCAGMAATCTTCTCTCATAGCAAGAGCATTTATGTAAAATGCCTAATGTTACCTATATAATTGTCAGAAAAAGTACAAAAGCTTTATCTCACAGCCACCATTACACATACACAGCACTAAAGGCTTGTATATAATTACCTGAAGGGGCTCCAACCCAAGCCAGACCAAGGACTCCATCATCAAAATCACGGTCTGTAAACACATAGGCCAAGCAATAATCATCATGATTCTGTTCTGAGTTCAGTTCCAGAAACTTTTCCACACCAATGTTAGGAAATCTAAAGGGATTGGAAGAGTCCTTCTCATCTATGGTTGTGTTAATCTGAAAGTAAATTGAAACAAACTGTAAGACAGGATTCATTTCCACTTGCACATGCCAGCCAAAAGGTTTACTGTTGCCAGTACCTTGTTATGGTACATAGTTAATGTTTGATATTTACAATCCCTGAAAAATTACCACCCCAACTATTTGGAAAACAAAGTGCAACAATAAATTAAAAATGGGATTCGTGTAGTAAATCYCCATTCTCTTATTTCCTTCTATTTCCTTTCCATCAGAACCCAAAAATTCATATTAATCCTCCTAAATTACCACTTTCAGAAGGAAGTCTAAACTTGGATAGCCATTATTTATTTTAGTATTAAAGTTCTTGGAGAGTAGCAACAGTCTGTTCACCATAGAGCAACACTCCTGAAACAAGGTAAGTTTACTTCTATGAAAAAACTGAYCACAGCTTAAAAACAGAAGTAGTAGGCTTTTGACAATAAACACTAAAACCAAACCAAATAAATGGTTAATGGCATCATTTACTGCTGAGACACTTGTGCAGAAGAAGTGCTACAAAACAATAAATGGGCACAAGTGAACAGGAACAGGACATTTGAAGAATACAGCCTCCAAGCTGCATCAGTGAAGCTGAAAGCATTTCCAAYCCAACTTACTCTTATTCGTTTCACCATGAAGCTGATGTTACGGATCCCTGAAAAGTCTGTTGACTGGTAAATTGTGTCAATCGCTTTAACATGGCTGGAAATCTGTCAAAAACAAAAGKATCTACAGTTCAAAGATCTGTGCATTACACTATAGCTTGTCCTAAACAGCAGCAGCTGCAAGGCCTACACTTCTACAATATGTGATATTGTGCTGTAGGAACTCCTAACTCCTTTTGAATTRAATGATGGCACACAATGGAAATCAATCACTACCAGTACCTGCATCACCACTGTGCCAGATACCACCAAAAGATTTTGCCATTTGCCTTTTTTTTAACACATAGTTCTATCAACTTTCAGATATCTGTTTGTGATACTCCTTTATTCACTGTTTTGGTAAGAAAACACTGTAGCTGAAATTGTATTCAAAGCACTGGATTTTTTTTTGGAGAAAAAAGCTTACTTGTTACAGAACTATTCTTTCATTTCTGGTAGAACACAAACATGAAAAAACTAATCATTTACCAATTCTAAGAGCACATAAAAATGGTAATTCACTAAAAAGCTAATTTTGAAGGTGACTTCAGGGCTTTTAAAAATGTCACTCAAATTGCATATGCACAGTGTGATGAATAAATAGTAAAATTCAGATCTGCAAGTGGCAGTGAAACTTCAGACTTCAGAAGTATGTTAACATGCTAGCTATATTTTCAGCAAAACCACTTGTCAGCAAAACCACTAAATCAAATTGGCTCTTTTCCCACTTAATAGTATATCAACAAAAGAAAAGCATCTGCCTTTAGCTGCCACTGCTTTTTTAACTATTCACTACATCAGATACTACAGGGATAGACATCTGCATCATTAGCTCAMAGTGTTTTGAACTAAAATTTCAAAGGAAAGCCTAGGCAAGTGTTAAAACAGAGGCTTGGCAGGCTGTCAAACAGGACAGAACTCTTCTAGAAGTATTATTTTTCTGAGTAAGAACTGAGAACAGTCAGACTGCAAGTCCTGCTCATAGGTGCTAAACACACCACAGCTGCCATGAAAGGAAGCACAAGTGACCAGGACTTGTATCACAGAAACAGTATCTTTGTAGCAAAAGTAAAAAATGCAGTTTCAATTATGTCAAGACCACTTTAACAAATGAACAAGACATTACAAATAAATAAGCAAAAATAAAGGCAGATAAGTTACATGACATTTATCAGGATTACAGAAAGTAAAAGCAGGAGATTGAAAACAAAGGGATTGGAAATACCTGTGCAATTACAGCTTCCCTGGTTCCATAATGCTTGTAGAATAAATGATCAGTCTGGATATACAGCTGACACGTGTTTTTTTCAGCCTGAGTGGCACGCTTTTTTCTCAAAAGCTGTGATTCRTCATTCTTAGGCTCTTCAACAGGCTTCTACATATGCAGAGGAAAGAAATACATTAATTTGGTAGATCTATATGCTGCACTAGATTACCTAAAACAATGATGAATTTTTTATAAACATACCCCACCAAYACAAAGAGATTTTCACTTTCTTTAMCTTGCAAAGTTTGATGAACCTTGAATTAARTACATTATACTCAGTTTTCACATACTTTGAATAATCTTAGCAAAAGAACTCTCTGCATTTCATTTTATACTACAAAATGCAGTCAGTGTTACATAGTCTTTTTCAYTCATGTGATCTTTGGAATTTTCTTTTTCATATTCCTTTTCTAAGATAAACAAACAGTTGGTAGATTAGGAAAGAAATAGCACTGGCCRAACTTAACTGCACCTTCCCTAACACCCGTTATTTCAAACTGTAATTACTTCAGTCAGCTACCTCAGCAAATAGAAGTACTTCAGCATGGAATAAAATGGGACACTGAACATGAAGTTGAAGGAACACTGGTTAGTCAAAGTGGTATTTAATAACACATTGGCCTTATAGTGCCATCAGCCAGTAAGTACTATCTCTTTATGAAGTTTTACAAGCAAATTTTTAGGAAAGCATGTTATTGTTACCAATGCWGAAAAGTGCATTAATGTTGACAATTTCTGGAGTCACAACATAAATAAGCTAAGTTGCTGACTCTATTTAACAAGCCATATTGCATCGTTTTCTTGATATATATTTAGCTGACACCACAAAATTATGCCAAGACTTGGAATGCTCAGAACACAGCTCAGTAGAAGAGAAACTTAGTAATTTGCTGGTGGGAAAAAAATATTTCATGACATGTGGTGCAAACCTGAAGTCAAACCCACAGTGGGACTCTACCCAGGTACACAGGTTCCTTCCATAGGACACTTACCTCTCACAGCCAATCCGTAATGTCCTGTAACCCCTTCAATCTTACAGGGTTGTTAGGAAGAACCTTCAACCAGTATCACTTAATTTTCCACTGAAAGCACTCAGATATCCCAAGTGTGTTAAGTTAACATAACCTGAAAATCTAGAACTTACTACCCTTTAGAACCAATGTATTACTTGGAGATCAAGGGATCTTGAAACTCTTCCATCTCAACTGCATATATTCCTCATTTCAAGCTTGATTTCCACATCTGTCTAAAATTCTAATTGTTGAAAAATTTGAGATTACGTAGGATTCGTTAAGACTCTAAGTAGCAAATCTATGCTACAGAAGCAATGAGAAAAAGAATTTTGAAGATTTATGTTAAAATAGTAATTTAAGTATCTCACAATGTGGAGGGATGATGGCTCACCAAAAGTAAGAGACAACATACAAGAAATAGGAAGTTATCACACTAACTACTAATCAACATAATCCATTAGCCTTTGGTGTACCTCTGTTGTTGGTTCTTCTATACCAGTCATCTGGTACTTCTGCATTCTTTCAAATACTGAATGATCTGCACAACCTCCTTGTGGTCCATATTTATGTGGATATTCTAAAAAGAGGAAGGCCAGGTTAAGTTTTCAAATTCCAAATACWAGTCCAAAATATGGCTGCATCACTGCAACTTACTCAGTTTGTGTCCAATATTGTGCATGTAGTCTGAGGGAAGCATTAGAAGAGTCAAGGTTTATGCAGCTCTTTTTCATGATACATTTCTACTAAGACATTCTTAGTTTCACAAACAGAACAAAACTGATATTTGCTTCTTAACATTATTTTCTCAGSCAGTACAAGAAAATATGAAGAGCAGTGTCTAACGTAAGAGAGAGCTTTTATTTACACATCTGTACCCACTTGCTTCAACTAAAAGCAGCCTTCAAAAAAATGAAATCACAATGGAAAATTATTAGAGATCAAATATACTAAAGACTTCTTGGATAAGAGAAAGGGGTTTTATGCTACTTGGTAAATGAACTAAAAAACCTAACATTCTTGGAGGATTTTATTATTTTGWTCACCTTCCACAGATTTTTGGGAAGTTTTTCACATTATGCTACTTAACTAGCAATATATAAGAAGTGAAATGCTAATGSATAGAACCGCAGTATCATCTGGGCATGCATTAGTTAAACTTGCTGGAGATGTAAACGAGTGAAAATATCCCACAATCACCTGTTTGACAMGGGCAACTCTTGCAATAGTTGCCAGTGCAGACCTCATTGCACAAGGGAATGTGCTTCAGACACACATGCTTAGGTTTTACTGTCAGTATGYATCACAGATTTGTAGCCTGTCCTTGCAAAAGCTTCCTTTAGAGATGAGAAATACTGAATAGTTATCCTTTCAATTTCTTGGCAGATTGGATTCCCTTATACATTGGTGCCCAAGTMAGAAAAAATGGAATACAGATTATGGTAGCCACAAACTAAAATATTCAACAAGCCAGTTTCTGTAGKGCAAATCACATTTTTAACATCATCTCAACAGAGAGCCACTTTTGTCACAAATGTGCAAACTTTACAAGGTTTGTTGTTTTTTRGGAGCTGTTGGTTGGTTCGTTTTTTATTTTTGTTTGGTGGGGAGGTGTTTGTTTTTTAAAGACCGGAAATCCAGATTCAGAATAAACAGAACAGACAYGTAAGAGTTAACTTATAAAGCCTAAGCACCAAGGGCCAGATGCCAACATTATATGCATTTCAGGTGATTTTGCACTGGACTAGCTCTAGTCTGGGCTGTGAAGTCAAGGCTTGGCAGCAGCTGGAACACAGCAGATGTGCTCCCTTGGAGTATGGTTTCTGATATGGTTTCATCTGACAGCTGCCTTTAATTACCTTTGACTCTTATGCCTGTTCCCTGCAGTCAAAATGCATGATCCTGCTAAACTACTTCAAYAGAAAGCTTACCTTGTAAGTTTATTTCACGACTTTCTGCATATTAGTTTCCCTCATTTCAATTTCTACCACCACACAAATACCACTTTTGACCTGCTGTCTCATCACATTCCTGCCAGCACAATTAGCCCTAGCACAGTGCCAGAAGAATGGAGAAAAAAAGAGAAACAAATGCTCTTACTGCAAGTCACCTCACCCAATTTGCTCCAGCATGGCAGGGGAACATTGACTTGGTTACCACTAATATTAACAAAAAGCACCACTCTGTTGGAGTCACCTTGTACTTTTTGGGAACCTGTTTAGTATCACTAGATTGGAGTTACAAGCAAAGAACTGCAGGTATGATCCTTCCCTTCTCCATCTCCACCACCCCTTTTTCCTTCCACAATAGCATTAAAAAATTCTACTGTATTTAGTCTAATGCAAGTTTTCATTACCTACGACCTGACTTCACACCACTGACTATTTATGTCTGCAACAAGAGCGGGTTACCCAAGGGCAAGAGCAACGACTCATCCTGCCTTTCCAGCACACACTGTCCCTGCAGAAAACCACTGTACCCTGAAAACAGCTCCTGCAGGAGCCCCACTCTGAAGCAYTATGACAACTGACAGAACAGAACTGGAAATAAATGTTCTCTGTGTATTCACAAAATAATCCGTCTTTTCTCTCTATCTTGTTTCCCAAAGATGTTAGGAAATCCCTTAACACATTTTTTTTGTATTGACTGCCCGCAATTCAAGTATTTCTCACTTCAAAAGTAACAATCTAGTAAGAAACACTTTAAAGCCATAGAAGTTACAATTAGAAAAAAATGAACACAAAATAGCCTGCAACAGCAATTGCCTAAGTTTTGCATGTACTGGAAAACACAAATCCCCCATGGACAGATTTGAAACCACCCTGTTAATAACAGGAGACAGGTAATACTGGACAGTTCACTTTGGAACCATTTCTAACTTACAGGGAATGTTGCATATGAAGTTTTCATTTGCTAAATGTTAAACTGCCCCCAAACTGTGAAGGCACTGTTCCCTCTTCATCTTTTGGGACCTCCTACTTCCATCATCCCCTGCAGYAGTTCCATTTTTCAATTTCTGAAGCTAAGCAAGAACTACACAGTGCCAGATGACTTGGACAGTTCTGACCCACAAGACAGAAGTCTGATCCATGTTCTTGTGAAGCTTTTCAATGCTCTCAGATGTGCCAGCTTTCTGTGCTGCCTACTGCCAGCTCTTTGGGATTGAGAGCTTCTTAGCCTATCCCTACCACAACCCTGTCAAGTGGAAAGGAAAAAAACATGCCTTCATGATTGCTTACAATGAATGCAGAGTTGAGGAAAAAATAGAAGACTATTTTCCAACAGAGCTACACCAGAAGAGGTTAATAACAGATTMAATCTTCTAACTACAAAAAAATCATTAGGCAAATAAACCAATTTTTTTCTTTTTCAGCACTGTCCACTTTCAGTTTTTGTACATCCTGACAAAATGTTAAAAAAAAATAAAGAATTAAATAACAATAAAACAAATAAAGAATAAAATAACAATAAAACTAAAAACTACTCACAAAATCTTGTCATTTCATACTTTCTGACCACAATATCTTATTCTAACTGGATGGCATTTGATTTTTAATGATATATACAACTCCAGATGCTCAAAATGTTGAATTTTTTCCTTTTAAGAAGGTGCCCTACCTTTCACAAAGATATTTCTGAACATTTGGTTTTTCTTCTTCTAATAGTAAATAGTAATGATCTATTAAGCATWTAGCTTAACTATTTAATAATTGGATTTAGACATCTGGGGCAAGGATGACACCAAACTTCCATTACAAATGATTAAAAGACGATTCTTTAACAGCCACAGAGATTTGCCCAATACTAGCAAAAGCAATAACATTCAAATAAAACTCAAATGTTAGCAGATACAAAAAAAAAATCCTTATAACAGATTTCATTTGCAGCACCCTGTGACACCRTGCTCCCATGAGAACTGTCATCACAATGTGATAAAAAAGAAACCAAGTTCTCATTAATAACAGTCTCCAACGGTCAGTCCATTCAGCAGATAGGGCATTGCAAAATTACAAACCACTTTCTGTTCTTAGTTGTACAGCTCTTCCAAGGCCATAAAGACAATTAAGTGACCATGTCAGTTTTCCTGAAAGGAAAAGGATTTTCCTGTATAATGTTGATCTGAAAAAATACTGATTCTGTATTTTACATTACGAACTCAGGGAAACCTTGAAACAAATATGATTCAAATAAAGTAAATAAAAAATTCAAATGAAATTCAAATAAAATCCTCATCCTTAAAGAAATGTATACTAAATATCTTAATGTAAACAACAATTTGCATCTTTCTAGCCCTAAATTATAAAATGGTATGAAAAAGACTGGTTTAGAAACTAAAATCATTCAACTTGTGTTTCAAGTCATGAATAGAAGGCTGCCTTCCACTGGTCACCCGATCCACTGTAATAAACAAAAGCTGCCTTATAAAGTTGACAATATAATCCCCATTTACAAAACAACTTTTGTTTAACTACTGAAAAAGAACTCATTGAGATGCTAATCATATGTTGCATTGTGRTTTCTGAAAAGCACTAAAAAGCATATTGTTTCAAAAGGCTGAAACATGGGTGACCAAAAAAATACCCAAATTAAAGCAAAGATGACTTTTTACCTCAGTCTCTCYGGAGTTAGAAATGAGGTAATTTTTGTTGCTTTTGTCCTACATAAGATAGTAGCAGTTTGACTATTTCACAAGAGTTAGCTTTAGATTGGAGCATTAACAACAAATTAATAACAAAGCTACTATCAAGCTTAGCTTTTTTGAGTTGTTGGCTTTTTTTCTGGAGCTGCATTTCAATGCAAAAATAGGTCTCAAGAAAGACAAAAATAATTTCGCTTCAAAGGCACTCTTCAGATGAAGACCAAAAGTTGTATACTCCAGATATTTGAGACAGAAGAAATCCTAGAGGCACCAATGATCCCAATGACTAAAGCGACACTATACAATCAGAACACATGCACATCAGACTGCACTGGCAGCAACYAACAGGAGTGATGTGTTTTTAAATAGTGCTGCTTAGACTTCACTCCAAGATGGGCTATTTTCAACCCTGCTGAGCAAGCAGCAATGTTCAATCACTCACTGATGTGGAAGCCATACTGTACTGYTTTAATGTGGCTCACTGGAATAGACTTAGACCATCCCCTCTGATAATGTGATTGGAATCTAAGTGATGGTTTTGATACACTAGACTCAAGAGGAAAAAAAAGGTAAGACATACCATCACCTGAACATACTATCACCTGAATAATTAAAAAAACACCAACATATCTGCTCCCATTCACATTAATATGACATTGGTTATTACTGATTTCATCATTACTTTTTCCAGTTCCCAAAGYGATCCATTTACTCTTCCAACAGAGATCACTCCTACAAATGCAACAATAATTTTCATAAAATCAATTTATCTGCTTCCTTAAGGCATAGTTCTATTTCTGTCAGTATTTGATAACAGTGAAGGGTATTTTTAGTTGCTCACTATTTACAGCATAAAGAACTGGGACATGAGACAATCTTCTTGCTTGTCTCAATCGTTGAAAACTGGGCACTTGCCTTCACTGCCTTGTTTCTCTTACTTAGCTMCTCCCCCTCTTTTCAACAACAGGGTTAGTTAATAAAACCCTTTATGAAGCTGACAGTGACCTATTTACACAAAATCCTAAAAAAGTGGAAGTCCAGTATTTCCACTAACAAGCAGTGAACTGAACTGTTCAGTGAGACCTATAAGACGCAACACAAAACTTAAAAGTATGTGTGAATTATTCACAGAAATGTTATGAAATATCTATCTTACAGTTTCATACCAGACTTTTGTAACTTTTTTATTACTTTTCCCTCACTACTCTCCTGCTACAGCAGCAAAGCCAGTAATACTCCAATTGCAGTTAACAGGGAAAACTGCCTTCTCCCCTTTGAACTGACTTCCCCCCTGATGAACTGACCAGCAATGCTCTGTAGAGATGAAAATGAAGSTCATACTGCAGCTTCTCTTTGAGAATCAAAAATATGGTATCCTATCCTATAAAGTTATTCTCAAGTATGGGTGTTTAAGCTCATTTAAGCACCAGGAAAACATACACCTAGTCAGGAAACAAATTCTGTTCACAAATCCAGTAAATGCTTTCATTCACAAACTCCTTAAAATTATGAAAATTCTATTTGATTTTGGGTTAGTAATCATATTTGCAGAATGAGATAACAAACATATTTGCTAGCTGACAGCAATTTTAATACACTCAAAGACAGCACACATACTGCCACTGAATGTAAAATACAAAAAACCCACCCAGATTTGCTGAGTTTTTAGTAGAGAAAGATCACTTCTCTTCACTGCATTCACACAAGARAAGTAATCAAGGAGAGCAATATGCAATAACCCTGTTTTTTCACTGGCTTACAGCACAGAGAAAATTGTAATATAKAAAGCCAAATCACAATCAGAAATTTTCCTCGTGTAACTTCCTATTCTTTGACTCTTCTTTTCACAATGCAGTCTCATTACAATGTACTTTGAAAATGATTTATACATATATCATCATCAGAGTGGTTCAAGTCATATCTAATGATCTAATTCAAGCCTCCTCATCCAATTCCAAATGAGATTTCAAACTCAAGTCTTCTAGGATTTCCACGACAGCCTGATGAAAAATGTTTTTAAATGAAGTTATGGTTTTAATTGATTTTTAAGCAAGACTGGAGTCCTGAAGTTAGCTGGAAAGAGTTTGTTAGCTTCAAGAACCAAAAGTTAATCTTAAACTGACTCCACCAACAGCTACTTGGAAGGATTCAAACTTGGAATCACAACTCTACTGCAGTACTTTTTAGGTTCAGTATAACGTAAGATCAAACAAAACTGATTTGTAAAACATCTGAATGATTCCATATTACATCTGCATAGTCATACATAAATAGGCAGGTAGAGTGCAGGAGAACTCTGGTGCACCAGTTCTGAAGATGTAGAAGGATTTCACAGTACTTTTTCATACTTCTGAGCATTTTCAACTAAAGCTAGATTTCCAGAGCCATAACTGTCAAATTTAAGTAGCATTCTTTGTACACATCCCTCAGCTATTGTGTAAAATGGGACACACTGGGTGCTACCATGTCTTCTAAAGAGCTCTCTGAAGGCACATGTGATGGACATACGCAGGGGAAGCTTTTATTTCACACAAATATCACCCTCACAAGATACAGGTAACCATTTAGTGACTTGAACTTTTATTATCTCTTTACTTCCAGATCACATGGAAGAGCCATCAGTACAGATAATTTTAAGAATATATTTTTCAAAAGAAACATATATGCATTGGGTAAGAAATGTAGAGCTTGCACACTTAAGCCTAATTGCTAAGGATTTCTTAAAGTGGCAGAATGAAGAAGACTCACTTTGGTTTGCCATAGGTCTCTCTCACACCATAACTGCATATAAATCACTTGAGGACAGCACAATTCACAGTGTCATACACAAGCAAAAATCTCACTTGATGCTTATAAATGGTTTAAAGGCTTTGAAATTTAATTTWAAAAAAAATTCAACGGTAGCACAAAAGGGAAGTACTCACTGATATCATCTTCATGATAAATGACAGAGTGGAACGGTAGCTTTCTGTCCTTTATGTATCTCTCTGCTGGCTCAATATAAAAGGTCCCACCATGAGTTTGGATGAATCCTTCAAATTTTCCATCAATAACAGACCCATGAGTAAAACTTCCCTGCTCACCTGTTAAGGGACAAAGTGCATTAGCTTTTKCATACCCTTCAAAAGGCTTTCAGCCCTGTGCAAACTTCAAACATCTCATTACCCAAGGTGTTAAGCTCACTGCTAATATGTGATACTTGCATAATTATCCTGATCGTGTACTTCCCAACTGCTAAAAACCTGCATGAATTCTGAGGTAATAAAATTCTGGATAACAGCAAAAGACAGGTCTGATTTTTTAAGACTCAGATTATCCATCAGTAAGACATACAGTTACAGCAAAATCAGTCACTAAGTTCAGCAGCTTCCCAAAATCAGGTGCATAAAGGACATGTTTGAAAAGCATATAATGAAGAATTCAACTCTATTTTAAAGCTGTTACCTACACAGCATGTAATTCTATAATCAAATCCAGTCTTTATACATCTGTTCATGCAATTAGAAACATAAAATAAATAATAGAATCAGAGCACATATGAAACTTTGAAAGCTTGGAAAGGAAGACTTTTCTATATTCAAGACAACCATTTTTCTCTTCAAGCACAATCCTTTTAGAACTGAACTTAGGTTTAAACCTGGCATAGAGTGAATTYGTATTTGAAACAGTCACAATTGGGAAAAGTACAACTGTCAAAGTTCAATCACYGACTGCTACAACATGTGACATCCCAACAGCCTTCCCCATACAAAGGATGAAAGATTACTCTGCTAGAAGAATGTTTATATACTCCCCCWTTGAGGAAAGTTCAGTATCACACTATCAAAAAGCCTTCTGACCTACTCAAAATAACTTGTAAAYTGGTCTGCCAAGATGCATAAAGCCTGGACTGTGTTTATTGCTTTTCAAAGCTGAAAATGCTCACTTCAAGACCACAGAACATTGCTAAGAAAGGTATTCAGGAAAATCAAACAAACACTACAATGAGAGGCAGGGTAAATCTTAATCTGTTTCTTCTTTTAATCTGCTTTTAGTTCTGTAATTCTTCTCCATTTTTAATCAATTTTATCTTTTACAGTTACTGACATCAGGTATATTACCCTTAATGATGGTAGTTCTGCATTTCCTCTAGTCATTTAAATTAAGAACGGCACCTAATTTCTTTTTTCTTCAATGCATACATTTTTTTAATGCATCAGACTTCTTTGAAGAGTAAGTTTATAAACAGAGTTGAAATTCAAGTTTTATGGATATGAAAATTATTAGATAAARTACTCATTTGTTAAGTGTGACTCATATATAAAAGCAGATGGGAGTTTAAATGTGTTAGATGCATAATTAAAGTTTGACAATAATCTAATAATACAAATATTAATTTTCTCCATGTACTATTAGAAAATTCCTATTTAAAATTGCTACACTTGCATCCATTTTTAAGTGTTATACTTACCATAAATGTGTCCAGTGTAAATATGGGAGGTATCATAATCAATCACTTGGTTTGAAATTTCTACTTTAAAGTCATCACTAAAAAGAGATGTATCTCTTTTCATTCGGAGGTTGAATTGTCTAAAGTGAATAAAACAAGATGGTAAATTGGCTTTGAGCTTCAACTACAAGAGCATTAAACAAAATACTTCAAAACAACATTTTTGTGCAAACAACTTGCAGACCTTGTAAAATCTGTTGAAAATTTTTATACTGTACAAGAAGTAGGCCAGAGCCTAGAAGGATTTTTTTTTAAGAAAGGTTATTTAGATGCTCTCAATATAAGTAGCTAAATTTACAAGTTTTAAGCCAGAAAACACATTCAACACACAATTCTAAAATGCTGATGTGGATTATACATTTGTTCCCAGTCCTTCAGAAGATACTGAGCAGCTTCAGAGAAATGCAACTATTTTACTTCACAGCACTGTGAAGCAGAAGAGAGAAAAACTATCATTTATTTTAATTTCATTTAAGTAATGTAAATGAACGTGGGTGAGCTAATTAGTGTTTCAACAGAAACTCAAAAAATAAGATGGGCTACAACATCTAATAAAAATACGCAAATTGGTAGAGTTACATGAACAACTATGAAAACAGCTCTACTCACTGAATGATTGTGTTCAAATTGCAACATTACATATATTAATGCAAATCCGACTGCTAAGCTTCATATGAAACATTTTGTTTGTATCAAAACAGGAGTTTCATTCAAGCAAGCAACGTAACTGAAGTGTTTTGAAATGCCTGACATTATATGAACCCATACCTGTGACAACCATTCACTTGCTTCAGAATTTCACCTGCTATTCTCCTAAATTTTGTACAAACAATTGTGCAAATACAAATCATGGAGTTGTTGAAGCTTCAGCCATTCCAATATTATTCTTTCATTTCTTCCTATATTTTTCTCTTTCCACACAATGATGAAATTGAAGGAAATATCATAGTTATGTCACCAATTTGTTGCACAAAAAGTAACTGTGATAAATTGAGTACATCTGGGTCACAGACTTAATCTAAAAACCATGACCTGCAGAGCTGACCTTCACAGTGAAAGTTAGTATCCAACAAAATAACCTAGGCATTAAATATAATAGTGTAAAGTTGATTAAATCTGGTTACTTTTACTAATTAGCTGAAGCACACAAGATGTATCTTCAGTCTTCATCTGCATGTTAAATATGATACCACAGTCTTAAGCATTTTGAAACATTAAGATATACATTAAGATGCAAACTTCAAGATCAAAAAGAAGCTATGCCTACACTTAAAACCTGGGAAGGGCTGTAGTGACTCATGCTAACTATTCTGTAATGCAAACAGCATTTCACAATCAAATTACATTTATTATTATTGCCACAGTGTTAATAAAGCTTCAAAGCAAATACTCTTCTCTGGCAATGTGTCACAGGTATCTACTACGAGGTTATGACATTCTGAAATGTGGCTGAAAGATGGGGAAGGTTAAACTTCAGCAATTCCCTGTGCCTCAGGATTTGTGCCAAGCCCAGCAGTGCTCCTATCACAGTTTCAGCAGAGATGCATTTTACAAGGAAGATCCTCCTCCTGTTACAAAGGAAGGAACCGTTCACTACAGATGCACTAGTATACTGGAGCCATTGAGAAACAAGAATTATTCTTTTTCAGCTTCATCTTTTTACTACCTCTGCAACAAGAGTCCTTTGGTAACCCAGAGGCTCATGAGGAAGAGGAAATAACCTGACCAAGCATGGTAGGACAGAATGCTACAAAGATTATCAAATACGTTTTTTGTGGGTGGGGTGGTGGGCAGTGTGGAGACTTGAAGCCACTTTATGTGGCTCTCCTGGGCAGAAGTTAAAAGTGAACACTTAGAAAGAAATGAAGACCAACACTGATGAGAATATGACAAATTTCATTCAGGTACCTGAAACACTTATAATCATTTTGGTTATAATACACTGCTCAGGGTGTCTTACACATTTGAACTCCAGTTTCGATCGAGCTTTCACTGTGACTGATTTTTTTCAAGGATGGATCAGACTCAGTGCATCTGAATGGACATTAAACAGCTGGAGAGATCCTGGACCCTTTGGAATGTCTCCTCCCTTATCTAGTATTTGATAGGAGGCTTCTTACTGTAAGAAGTCCGTAATTCTGTCTCTGTGATGAACTGAAATACACACTAATCTCAGCAAGAGCACCTATCATGGCTAAAACTGCATTTTCCTCATGAAAGAAAGTAGGTTTTCAGGAAAAAAAAATATCAATCTATATAGCACTTTTCTTTCAGAATTGCAAACACAATTTCTTTAAAATTACATTTTTCTGGATGCATTCACGTACGTTTCAAATAAAACTGAGGAGCAGTTGTCTCTAACACTCAACTGCATCAGCAATTTTCTATAGCTTTGAAGTACACAGAGAATGCACGACTTCTCATGTATTAACTGAGATATACCAGCAGAATGGGGGAAAAAACCCAGGAGCTGATGTCAGCCTGAAGGCTGGTAATTTACCATGCTTAGCTTAGTATAACTCCAAGTACACAGATGGATGAGCCCTGGGCCTCAACTGTGAACCCATCCAGGGTATCCTCAATTGCTGCTCTCACCACTGCAAACCAGCAGCACAATCATGGTGCAGTCATGSACTACCCTCGGTGGCCACCATGTAGCCAAGCTTTAGGGCCAGCCTCAAGTTTTGCCTACACTTCTGACACCACAGGACTTGCTTTTAGCGGGGCAAGGGGAAACTCAGTGGAGCTTAATCAAGCTGGGAATGGTTGTTCCCTCTATGCGGGATACCCTTCCATCAACATTATTGTCAGAAGTTTTATGTACCAAAGTTTCACCAGTTTTAAATTTAGGAAGCCTGTATTTATTCTCCTTTAATTTTCACCCTCTTCCTACTTTCCACATTGCTACATAACAAACACTATAGATTCTAACACATGTTGCCAATTATCTTTCAATAAAATTAGCTTTWTTTGCAGGATTAGAGCTGTGCTTCACACTAACAGCTCTCTATTTGATTTCTAAACTTAGTTAAACTATTAGATAACCTGATCATGTCTCAGCTATTTTTAAACAGGTCTTTTCTTAGTCATTCAAACATGCTTGATGAGAATCAATGCAGTATTATCTGTCTGACTGTTCAACCTTCTAAATAATGAAATATTGACAAATATTCCTTCTTTCTCTCCCACCAAAGGAAGAAGACAACTTGGGACTGTGGGGGCAAAAGGGGCCAGGGAGGGTAGCAGAGTAAACAAGCATCTAYTCATCTCCGCTTCCAATAATTAACAACTTCAACAGATCACCAAACTTCAAACACATATTCTACTCTGACTTAAATCCAGTAACTTCATGATTTGTTCTGAGGACAGGAGACTGTAGGGAAGTTAAACAAATTTGTTTATACCATTACTGAATATGGTTTCTAAACTAGCCACAATGGAAGAAATAAGAAGCTTCAAATAAGCCTTTTGGCAATTTCCATTTCCACAGCATGCACCGAGTTCTCACTGCGAACTAAGCTACTCCCTAGCCTAGCTACACACCAGGCAGAAGATAACTAATTTCAGAAAAATAATGCCTCTTTTATTTACACACTTTCTACCTTGCAGAAAACATTTCCCAGCAGAAGTGATCTCTAGAATAGAGWTAAATCAATTAAGACCAAGTTTTGACCTTGCTTATTTGTTACTGCTTCTGTGCTCCATGGATCTGAATGTGTAAGAAGTAACCCCTGTATCCATATCTATAACCCCATATCCATATCTAGATATGGTAAAAGGACACTGCTTAGTTCCTATATGGTTTCCCCTTTTGGCTGTAGACAGAATTTTGATAAAACTTTTACCTACACATACATACATGTATATAATTATATAATCTGCTTTGATAATAAACTACATCTATATTAACAGCAGTACCCTGAAGGCTATCAGGAAGTAGATTTTTATTCCTCTTTAGCTTACCTCAGGGACACTATGCCCAATTTGCAAGTAACAAAGCAATTCAGTCATAATTAAAGAAAAATTATAATTGAGAGCACCACACTTAGCTAAAACCAGTACTCTCCCATGGCTCAAGTTATGTTGATCCTATACTTTAATCAGAGCAAGTGCTTGAAAGGAAAAAAAAAAAAAGCCACATTTATATATCAGCATTTGGTAAAAGGCACATAAAGGCTTACGTGCAAGAGCTAATACCTAATCTATTGTTCCRTTTATTTTTAATATGAGTTACCTTCTAAAATCAGTGATTTCACTACAATGGAACATCCAATATTTGGGTCTTTGGTACCAAGTCTGCAGACTTTCACAGAACTGGCAGAAAAAGCTGCTATCTGGTATATAAAATGGCAACTTGGTGCTTTCCCCTTTCTGTTTGTCCTCAGTCAAATTGCTGTAACTGGTGGCAGGCTTGCACAACCACTCAGTGACCAGAGGAGATTGCGGAGAAAAGAGAAAGGGAAAAAAGGAGATGGAGGAGTTACTCCACAGCTGGAAGAAGTGGCTGGGAAAATGAAACTGAAGGGGAGGGTTTGGTAGCAGTATGGAATGCAACTTCAGTGCAAGAGTCCATTTAGGTTCAGTCTTTTCTTCCCAGTAGGAACCAGAAAAATTCTCACAGCTTTGGCTCCATGAGCCTTCTCACAAGTCAGCATCTAGAAAATACTCTTCTGTGTGAGGTGCATTTCTTTTATCCTTACTTTTTCTACCTAATAACTCAACAACTCTCTTCTCAGAAAAATTGAAAGAGGGGGTCTATAAATGGAAGGGAACAATAAGTTGAGTTTTTCTTCCTAACTGCTTCCATGAGGCATCCCATAATCTACTCAGTTACCACAACACAGTCAAGATTCATTCCAACTCTGAACTACAGTAAATAGAAGGCATTTTAACAACCTAAAATGGGGTTTATACTACCCACAATTTTAAAAACCATAACATTTAAAGATTTTTTTCTTTTTATTGCTTTAACTTACTATTAAACCCACACACCATACTTCACTTAACTGATAATTCCCATGGTCCTGCTACTCACACTAAAGAAAACTTTTCTTTGAAGCTGCACATGATAGGGTCTCCA